TAAAAAAGGAAAAGAAAAACAGATTGTACAGGATCTGGGCTCATTTATTCTCATTGCATTGAAGAAAATTGAATCACGTAGACTTTGGATTAGATACTAAATTTATTTTCTGAATCAATGTGGACTTTTCATACCTAAATGGATTTTAATTCTGGTTTTTTAATATGGACGCTTTGTATGACTCAAATAAGTCCTACTTTTCAAATGGTTGTTATTCAGCCTAAATGATACACTTAGGATGTTAAGTTTTAAAGATTAGCTAAGTGTGTGGCACTGTTAAACCTTTTACATGTCCTGTGTTCATTATCGGAAATTTATGAAGGAAGAGAATTATCAGTTATCCATGTGAAAATATTGACATTTTAGTATATATTATATCCTATCTTTTGTCCATGGTGCAATTCTTTTCTTTTTAATTTGGTAACTCATAGTGTATTATAAAGGAAAAACTATTAAAATATACCTTTTCCTGGGAAAAGTAAATAAAACAGACAAATGAATCTACACCAAGTAAACATTAACTTTGGTAGATGTCAGTGTAGCATAGTACATAGCAAGCATATTTGCCCTTCTTCCCCTAGAGATGCTCAACTTCCATGTTAAGAATTTTTAAAAAACATTGTTTTAACTGGGATTTTATTGTGTTGATACTTGTTTCTCATCTGCATCATCTTTGGCCAAGGTCTGAGTGCTTAAAATTCTCTAATTGTTGCGAGATTAGTCAGAAGCATTTGGAACACACTGGTGGTGGAAGAGTTTGCTGTAGAATTTGCAACAGCTGCTATGGCTGCAATTCTTGATACTTAACCTTTTTTTATTGTGAAATCTATAGAAAATACAAAAAGAATAGTTTAATGAAATAGTAGGAAATCAGTGTTTATAAACACCATCCAAATTACAAAACAGAATAGCAGTGTCATAGGAACTTCCTGTGTACCCCTTCCTGATTATAACTCCCTCTTCTCTACCTGTAACTACTACCCAAACTGCTGTGATAATAATGTCCTTTATCCTACTGTTAATCTTTAACAACCTATTTCTGATATTTAACCTATTTATGCAACCCTGATTTGCCTGTTTCTGAACTCTGTATAAACAGAAATGTACTGTATTTTTTTTGATTTGTAACTAAAGAAACAGTATAAGTGAATAAGTCACATTATGTTGGATAAACTGATGTTCTCAGCTCACATATTTTCTAGCTATGTATCTTTTGAAGGTGAGTGTATTTCATGTCTGAACCTTACTGGAAAATAGAAATGGTTTTGTATTATAATTATTAAAGGAGATAATGTATTTAAAGTGTAAACTGTTAATGTTTACCAAGCAATGGGAAAATAAGACTGTGCTGAGTTTTAGTGAGATGTTGATATTTGGTGTAAGAAGACAGTTGATGTAGGGCTGGCAAAGTAGCTCAAGTGGTAAGAGTGCCTGCCTAGCAAGTGTGAGGCCCTAAATTTAAACCCCAGTGCCACCAAAACAAAAAAAAAAGACAGTTGTTTCATTTGTACATATTGTATGCTTCCTAACTAGGTTGGCACATTATATGGATTTTTTTACCTTACCTCAAATACACTTCAAGGTATGTTCTAACATTGCAAAGTATGAAGCTGGGACAAGTTAGCTTCTTCAAGGTTATACCTTGTAGGTAATATGTGAAAAAGGACTTGCCCTCAGGTTTATCTGCAGAGCTGTGGAGTGTTTTCCATAGAACAAATGAAGTGTCTAGAAGTATACTCAATCATCTCAGCTACTTGGGAAGCTGAGACAGGTGGACCATGAGTTCAAGGTCATTCTGGACAAACTAGTGAGACTGTGTTTCAAACAAAACTAAACAAACCCAAGAGGAACAAAGAAACATTCTCAAGAAAGCCCTCCAGTATTTGGTATTTAGCATTATTTTTAAAATTGTTCTTCCTTGCTTCCTATATTTCAGAGGGTTTTTTGTTTTGTTTTGTTTTGTTTTGTTGTATTTGTGTGTTTTAAATTGTTGGTTTTCTTGAATTTCAAATATTTGGACATGAAGATTTTTCTCAATATATGGCTGTATTAAATTGTTGGTTGTGACTTTTGAGCTCCATATTTATTTTTTAACATTCATGTTTTATGAGTTTTGATATCTTTGAGGGGCCTTGCTGGCTGGGGAGAGACTGTCCTCCCTAGGACTAGCTAATTCCTTTATATTTTTGTTAGTTTGGCATTGGGAATTGAAAGGTCTAGCTAGTTCTTAGAGATAGTTAACAACTTGTCAGTGAGCCTCCTTTCACATACAAAGCAAACAGTTCCTGATTCTGTATCCTGGAACAGTTCCTCATCTAACTTTCACACATCAGTCCAATATTCTTCTACCCTGATCATCCATGGCCAGGTACCAGCCACTGGAGACTACTGCCCACTGGACATTATTCAAGCTAGCTAGTTTCCCTGTTTGCCTATCCTGCCTTTCCATGGAAAATATCGTAAAAGGCTCTGGCTGTGTTCCTTAGTGTCTTTTGCTCTTGACAAGTCTGCTGCTTCCCTCTGTGTCTTGTGTGTCTTCCTTGGGAAATGTTAAATAATTCTTCTTCCAGTGACATTAGCTGTTTGCCCTTTACTATTCTCATAAATTAAAATCCTGTAATATAATCGAAATACTCCAACATTCATTTCCTCTTTTGTCTCTATATCTTTCTTCTCTGTGTGTCTTTTCCTCTGTCTCTCTGTGTCTGTCTCTCTTTCCCTCTCCCTGTTACCTCCCTTCTCCCTTTCTCTCTCTTCTTTTAGATAGGGTCCTGGGGTCTGGCTATGTAGCCCATGCCAGGCTGGCCTTGAATTCACTATGTATTCCAGTCTGACCTTAAACTCAAAATGATCCTCTTTCCTTCCAAGTGCTGGGATTATAGATCTGTACTATGATGCCCAGCTGTCATTTCATTTTTGTTATTTTTCTGGCTAATTACTTCAGTTCTTAATTTCTTCTACATTACTTAGAAAGTCACCATGGCAGTATCCTGTTTTCATGTTAATTATATGGTTTAAGTAGTTTTTTTCTGAATTGCATTAAAACTCAATGCTCTTTAAAAGAGCTCATCTCTTATGTGCAGTTTGACCATTTAATTTGGCCTTAGTATGTCTGTGTGATGTGCAGAAACTTTTGAATATAAGAGCATCCCAACCTGTTTGTATTCATTATTGTGAATGGTTCACTATAGTTACTCTGATAATTAAGCTTGTAGTTCTTTTTTCCAGTTATTATGTAGGTAGATCTGCCTTCCGTTCAATATTACCTTTTTACTGCTCCATATTAAGCTTTATATTGCTTAATTTTTTTTTTTGTTTTTGGTTCTGGGATTTGAACTTTAGGCCTCACGTTTGCTAGGCAGGTGCTGTACCACTTAAGCCATTCCCCAGTCTGCTTATGGGTTTTTGGTTTTTTTTTTTTGAGATAGGACTTCATTCTATAGCCAGGCTGGCCTTGAATTTGTGATCCTCCTGCCTCTGCCTTCCGAGTGTTGGTATAACGGTTGTACACCACTATGCCAGATGTTTTCACTGTCAGCAGTGTTTTAGCATTGACTACATGCTGCATTTGATTCTACAGCAGTATTTGTGTAGTGCTATAGAAATCTTAAATTTTCAGTTTGCAATGATAGTGAAAGTTAATACTTTTTTGGCTTTTCAGTACCCCCTCTTCACCTTCTGCGTCAGTGTGGTGATTTGGAATCTTTTCATTTTTAATAACTCATTTCTTTATTATTTGCAGTTCAGTCTAGGCTGAACTCAAGGCTTTACACCTGCTAAGCAAGTGCTCTACCATTTGAACCACACACCAGTCCTTAACACCTCATTTCTGAGTTCATCACTTTTGAAATTTCTGTTTATCTGTCTTATCAAGCTTCTTGGTGTAATGGCAAAAACACAAGTTTCAAGGTTAAACGTCTTCAAAACCTAGCTTTTCCATTTTTATTATCTTTCACCTATAGCGAGTTAACTTCTGAGAGTCTTCGCTTCCTTAACTTATAAAATAGTAATTATTAAGTTTGTTAGGGTTAAACAAACCTAAGTAAAGAAACTTGTATTAAAAAAAAGAAATTGTATAATATATGGCATGAGTATTTAATTTTTAGTATATACATTCCTCTCTAAGGCATACCATCTGTCAGAATTATATTAATATAACACTAAGTGGTCTCTTGAGGGTACTCAAAGAAACCTAGCTTGATGAGATGATGATCGTGTGTCGGTGATTTCAGTTTTTCTTTTTAGGGACTTAAAGATAGAAAAGGTTGAAAAGGTTTCTCTTTGTTGTTGGCCTGAAAGGGCTTCTTCCTTTTACACTGATGTCCTCAGATGTTTTTGGAGGTGATTTCTTAAAATGTGCTTTCATTTCTTAACTCTTAATTCTCTATTTTATCTTATGTTTTAATATTGAGTTTTCTTTTTGTCAAATTAATGGTTTAGTTCTGGATCATCTACTCAACTGTCTGTCCATTTTTGTATATTATACCCCTGCTCTTATATTTTATCTTTATTCTTCGAGGATTTGCCTTGAGAGTTAATAACTAAACGTTCCCATTTGTAAAGATGAGTTTACTAGACTCTTCCCTTGTTCTTCTACCTAATTCTTTTATTTTCAAGTTTAATTTTCTATTTAATACTGTTCTCTGGATGAACTGACTATGTAGTTATCTTTAGAATTATGAAGATGTTAATGGAGCAAAGTATCAAAATCATAAAGTGTTTTTTTTTTATTAGCATTCTTATTGGATGACTTTTGCAAGAATGATCCTTAGTTACATAAGAATTATACTTTCAAAGTGTAGTATAGACATGGATACACAGTAGTTAAAATACCTGTTTCAATGAAGGAAATTGAGAGGAAGATTAAGTTTGATATTAGTAAATAGCAACTTTAAGATAGTACAATCCAGAAAGAATAGTTTTGATATATCTCTAATCACTTTAAACATGAGTAGCTGCAAATACTGTTTACCATAATAGTTCTTAAATAATGTGAGTTATAGTAAGGTTTTTGAAGCAATAGATGAAATTAAGCTTCATTAACTAATTTTAAACCTTTTTTAGGTAAATGAATTGGTGGATGCCAGAGATGTCGGCCTTGGTGCTTGGTTTGAAGCACATATTCATAGTGTTACTAGAGCTTCTGCTGGACATTCACGTGGCAAAACTCCACTGAAGAATGGCAATTCTTATAAAAGGACTAATGGAAATGTAAATCATAATTCCAAAGAGAACACAAATAAATTGGACAATGTACCCTCTACGTCTAATTCATACTCAGTTGCTGCTGATGAAGACATTATTTATCATATCGAGTATGATGAGTAAGTGCTCATGCTGTTGAGGACTTCATAATAATTTTGTGTATAGAAACAAAACCTTGCATTTCAAGATTATTTTAAATAGTCTTTCTGAAGAAGTCATGTTCAATCTATTTCTTTGTTTGGTGATTGTTATCTGATAATAAGGACTCTTAACTTTCAGTCATTTCTGACCCATAGGTGGTTGTGGTTTGTTTTCAGTATTCTGATATCCGACTTAATTTAGGACGTTCAGGTTTCTGTTTATGTCTTTATTGTATTAGGTATTTTTTTAATACGTACTTTAACAATGTTTTTAGAAAATATTTTTAAAACATGTAATACAATAGCGATTAGAATGAGATAAAATATTTTAAACATCTTTTTATCAAGATAATTTACATATCATTTACCCATTTGAAGGGTATAATTCAGTTTTTAAACATGTTCACAGGACTGTACATGACTATAAACTTAAGGTTAGACCTTTTTTTCCACTCCAAAAAACAAATTCCATACCATTAGCATAGTCACTCCCCAGTCTCCTTCCCACAAACAAAAGATTTTCTGAAACATTATGATGGAAATGGTGGTAAGAACTTGTCTTAAGAGCCTAGATTCTAACACTAAATTTTAGTATCCATTTAAAGAAATTGTAGTACAAAAATTATTGCCAGGCACTGACAGCTCATGTCTGTAATCCTAACTGTCCAGGAGGCAAAGATCAGGAGGATTGTGGTTCGAAGCCAGCCAGGCAAATCGTTCACAAGACTCTATTGTGAAAAATGCTTCACACAAAAGGGCGTGGAGTGACTCGAGATGTAGGTCCTGAATTCAAACCCCAGTATTGCCAAAAAAAAAAAAAAGACAAAGTTATTGTTGGGACAGATTTAAATATTGAACACTAATGAACCTTAAACACACTAAATGAACTTAAGTCACTGCTCAAATGATACCTTAATATTTATGGAAGTTACAGTGTTATCATATTCTTTTGACACGTAAGAATTCAAAATCTTAAGAATGTTTATGAATTTTTCTAGCCCAACGTGGCATAAGACAACTTTGGTAGAAACTTGTATTTCCAGAATAGCTGGGAAGGTGTCAAAAGTAGACCCCTTTAACCTTTCCTTTTCTGATATTTCTTGTGGTTGTGGCTAAACTACCAATACTCTGATGAAAAGCCAGTATGTGATAATAGAATCAACAATGAGAATGAGGATAAAGATACTCATTGACCAGGGATTGACCAGGCTGGCAATATTGGTGAGTTGGCCTGGTGTAGAAAGGGATTGGAGTCAGTGTGTTGATAATAAGCTGTACCTCAATTTATAAATGCCATGGCACAGAGGCAAGTTGCTGTAATGATAGGAGATTTCAGCCATCTGTATTATCTGCTGCCAACAAATAGTGTTTAATTTCTTCATTGAGTTTTGTATCTTGGTGAGCTGGAGAAATAAGTAAGAAATTTGCTACTTGGGGGACCTCATTCTGGCTAATCAAAGAGCTATTATTTGGCCAAAAATAAACACTGAGTGAACCAAAGCTAATTAAATTTTATACTTTTAGAGACTCTTAAAGATGGTTTGGGAGTAAGACTTTTTAAGGAATAGGTCCAATGCTTGAGTTTGGTGTAATGTTAGACCACAAAACACAGCATTAACATTTATTTGGCTATTTTTTATTGGAGAAAATTTTCTTTTTGGGGGGAGTTGGAAGGGGTAGTACTGGGGTTTGAACTCAGGGCCTTGAGCTTAGAGAAACTTTTCTTGATTAGAATGAGTGTTAATAAAATGGAGCCTAAATCCAACATGCATATGAAGTCTAAAATACTCTTATATGACAAATGTTTCAGTGCTGGCAACCTAAAGATATAATAGCAGAACTTTCTTTGCAAAATAAAAGATAACAGAAGCTTACTGGTAAGTAAATGTTATTCACATGTCAAAAGATAAAAGAATTGGGCTGGAGGTGTTGCTCGAGTGGTAGAGTGCCAGCCTAGCAAGCACAAGGCTCTGAGTTCAAACTCCAGTACCTCCAAAAAAGAAAAAAGAAACTTAAAAAAACAAGATAAAAGAACTGCATAAAATACTGTATATAAACTAATTGAGCTCCTGAATAACAAAAGGCTAGCATAACATAAGCACCTAGAAAGAATCTGTATGACTTGATATGGATGTGATAATAAAGTTTGTTTCATTCTCCATGGTCATTAGAAAAATGAATTTAAAGGTATGATAAACTACCTGTTGATTTTAATCATTAAACATGTCTTTGAATGGAAGATGCATTGAAGAGAGAGAGGAGAGCTATCTCTTTTTTATTTTTTTGCAGTACTGGGGGGTTGAACTCAAGTTCTTGTGCTCGCTAGTCAGCCACTCTACCACTTGAGCCATTCTGCCAACCCTTTTCATGTTGGTTAATTTTGAGATAGGGTCTCACTTTATGCCCACAGTAACCTGGACTGCCATCCTCCTATTTGTGCTTCTCCACATAGTTGGGATAACAGGCATTCCACCATTGCCCAGCTGTTGGTTGACATGGGGTCTGTCATACTTTTTGCCCAACCTGGCCTTAAACTTGACCCTCCTTCTAAGTAAGTTGTAAGCAATTTGCCTGTTTGTCACATCTGTGTATAATCAGATCTACAGATCTCTTTGAGTGTAGCAATGTAGCTTGAACAAGCTGTACTTTAGCAAAGATGAGGGAAGTATCATAGGCAGGATCAAGAACCTGCCTCTGGAACACTTGGAGGACATGCGGTGTTTGTCAATTTAAAATGGAGCTGTTCGTTGTTAATTATTTGAGATGCTCTCTTGCTGTGTGGCCTAGGCTGGTCTTAAACTTCTATGCTCAAGTGACCCTCCTGCCTCAGCTTCCCAAATGCTGGGATTATAGGAGCAATTATAGGGATTTTAAGAGCAATTTTTACAGTATACAATAGATAATTATTACCAAGCCATATGACTTCTTAGGCTTTGAAACGAGCCTCCATTAAAACAAAATTGCTTTCAGAATCAGATCAAGATAAATAAGTATTCTTTTTCATCTTCAATTCCCACTCTATTCAGATCAGAGTTAAAAACAATTTTTAGTCTGTGGGGAATGATAGGCATTTCAGGCTTAGTGATGTTTATTAGGTAGAGGAGTTTCAAAAAACAAACTAAGAAATTTTAAGATACAGTAGTGGACATTGTTCTAAAATATAAATGAAATAATTTCCTTAGTCTATCTTCGTTTTCCTCTCAAAATTATAGATACTGCACTGACTTTAGGAAAAGGAGGCTATTATAAAAGGTTTGAGATGTTTTTAATTTTTGCTGTTAGTAAATTCTCTTTTCTATCAGTTCCTTCATGAACATTAGCTGAATTGTTGAAGGCTTCTTGTGAAAAAATATAGTTTGTTTATCTTATGAATATATATTTTCTCTATCTAGGTTGTCAACTCTATGATTTGCATTTACTGCTGAAAATATCAAGCAAATATGAGTTCATCAAATATCTGGTGCAGTGTAGATTTGGGGGGGATTTTTTTTATTGCTATTATATCACTCATCTATTATTGCCCTTGTTTTATTAGAACTCAGCCAACATGGTTAGTATTTGAAGAGAAATTACTGCTCCAGAGATCTAGATTCCAAGAGATTTTTTTTTTGGTGGTACTGGGGTTTGAACTAAGGGCCTCATGCTTGCAAGGCAGGTGCTTTAACACTGGAGCCACTCTACCAGCCCTGTTTTGTGCCTGGGGCTGGCTTTGAGCTGCTGTCTTCCTGATCTCTGCCTTCTGAGTAGCTAGAATTACAGGCATGAGCCACTGGTACCTGGGTTCAAAGAAATATTTAAATAGGTTTTAAAAGCACACTCAAGTGGGCATACATAATTTTTGGCTGTGAGGAGTGCTACTTCTCTTCCCAACTCTACAAAGCCCTGATTACTAGGAACAGACTAAACCTGAATGAAAACTTTTAATGGTATTTTGTGATTTAAAAAAGGAGTATGATTAAATAAGCATGGCTTAAGTGGTAGAATACCTGCCTAGCAAGCATGAGGCTCTGAGTTCAAGCTCTAGTACCACCAAAAAAATGTAAGCAAATGTAAAGTACTATAAGCTATTATAAATCATTAAGTATAAGGGAAAAACACAAAATTTTCCCTTATTTCATTTTGGTAAGCTTATACTTGTTTACTTTTATAGCTTCCTTGAATGTTCCTTTTTTTTTTTTTTTGGTAATGGTACTGGGGTTTGAACTCTGGACTTTACACTTACTAGGCAGACACTCTACCACTTGAGCCATACCTCCTGTCCTTAATTAATTTTTATTTCTATTTTGTTTCCATATAGACAAAATTATTAGTACTCAAAGGCTTTTCTAAAGGAGATATTTTGTTCAAGCTAAATGGTAGAGATGACTTTATATGAGGGACGATTTCTCTGTTATGCAGTATTTACCCTATTAAGTTTGCATAGAAAGTAATGTTCATAATGTGCTTATGGGAAATTTTTATATTCTTGAGTAGGGAAAATGGTAGTTGAATATTCTGAGGTCTAGTTATGGTTTTCCTTTTAAGTTGGGCTCTTAAATATAGCAGTCAGTCCTTTTAACTTTCTGAAGTTAAACTAGGGTTGAACTATGTCTCAAATTCTCCTGATTGTAAAATGCTTCTCTTTGAAATGGTGTCATTAGCTGAAGCAGCTCAGTCTCTGTTCAAGCCTGGAACTTCCAATCTTCCTACCTCAGCCTCCCAAGTGCTAAAATTAAAGATGTGTACCACTGTGCCCTGCCCTCTAGAGAAATATTGACAGAAGGTTCTCAGTCATATGGTCCATGTTTAATTCTTAGGGCACAGTTACCATATTACTCACTACACATTGTGTTTAACTTCTTCTACCAAGGATTTAACGTGTGTACCTTTAGTCAGTCCTGTAGGCCAATTAAAGAGGTAAATTTAAGAAAACTATTTTATTATTGGCCTGCTTTTTTTATTGCTTTAAATTTAGTGTCTAATATAGAGGTCTTAATTTA